TTTTTTTTCTACTGTTACTCCCATTTTTCTTCTTCTAATACTACTATTACAACTTCCATTCATCTTCTTCCTCTTGTCTACTTCTTTTTCTTCTTCTTCTTCTTCTTCTTCTACTACTACTACTACTACTACTACTACTACTACTACTATAACTCCTATTCTTTTTTTCTTTTTCTCTACTGCAACTACCATTCTTCTTTTTTCTATACTAACTTCCATTCTTTTTCTAGTCGTCTTCTTTTTCCACTACAACCACCATTCTTCTTCTGGTCTTCTCCGACTTTCTTCTTTTTCGTTTCTACTACAACCTCCATTCTTCTACTACTACTACTTCTATTACTACTATTACTACCACTACTAATCCTATTCTCTTATTATTATTTTTCAACTGAAACTCCTATTTTTTTTCTTCTTCTTCTACAATTCCCATTCTTCTCTTTTTCTTCTTCATCTTTTTCTACTATAATGTAACTCCAGTTCTTCAACTACTACTACTACTAATAATAATAATAATAATAATAATAATAATAATAATAATAATAATAATAATAATAATACAGGTCCCTTTTTTTCTGTCCATCTCCTTCTTATTCTAATACAACTATTCTTTTTCTCTACTATTGAACTTCTTCTTCTACTCCTCCACTCTCCTCCTACTCCTCTTGTTCTTCTTTCATTTTTACCCCCTTTTTCCTTTATATCCTCGGTTAACTTTCCCATTCTTTATTACTTTATTTCATTCTTCTTTATTTTTAAATAATTTTACATGAAACACACAAGTGATTTTATGTCAGTGTAACTTCTGGAAAGTTCTCAAATCGATCCACTTTTTGGACGGTAAGAGGTTTTTGGAAGTCTGAGAACTTTTTAGTAATTTCTCATATATCTGTCTATCTATTACGTAGACACACGCTCCTTATATCTCTCTCTCGCTCTCGCACACACACACACACACTGTTTCTCCCCATATATATGTGTATATGATAGAATAAGAAACAAAGAGGTAACGTTTATAAATTAAACATGTTTCGCTTTAATTAAAGCTTCATCAGAAAATGAATTATGGAGGAGTAAAGAAAATTTTGGTATTTTTATTCTGGTGTTGTTTGTTTTCATTGGTTGAGTAGACCTTACGTGTATCTATCCTGTCAAGCAGTGTTCTTGCGTATAGTTCATCTGTGTATGTTTATCATAATTCTAGTTTGCCTATGCGGGTTTCGGATGATAATGCGCATTCGTTTCTGCGCATATGCAAAAACACGTGAGATACGCGTGAGGTCTGCTTAACCAATGAAAAACAAGCAACACTATAGTAAAAAATATCACAATTTTCTTTTTTACTCCATATTTAAGATTTTGATGAAACTTTAGTAAAGAGCGAAACATGCTAAATTTATAAACGTTTCCTGTTTGTTTATATCCTATCATTTTGTCGGATTGCAATACATCTAAATTCATAGTCTGTTTATATTCGTTTACTAACACTTTCAAACTTGAATCTATCTGGGTGTGTATATGTATATGTCTTTATTAATGTATGTGTGTCTTTATTAAGGTATGTGTGTATGATCGCTTATATATGCCTTTCATTGTATGTATATGTTGTCTAATTTTACATATTTTTGTGGTGGGGGGTCGTTGTCATCTCTTTCCTGTTTCGTTCATGTTTTTGCGTGTTTATATATCTAAATATGTCTACGTGTTTGTGTATTATAATCTGAATGTGTATGTATTGTCTTTTGCAAGATTTCATCCTCCCCTGCCCATATCCCCACTTCAAATGTATCTAAGCTGTAACGATGTTTTACATCCTCCATTAGATTAAAGTTTATTCTAAGATTTTGGCTTTTCAATTAAAACAAAATAAATAATAAAATAAATGTATTTTTCCTCAGTTTCTTCTTTAAATATTTGAAGAGTGTTTGGTTGATTTGAACCTTTTATTCTACATTCAACACCATCACTTGGTAAGACACCAGAAGTGTTGAAAAAAATTGCTATTTTGTAGTGATTTTATAACATATTTATGTTAGAATTTTCGAATAAATTATATGTGTATGTGCGTGCGTGTGCGCGCGCGCGCGTGTGTGTGTGTGTGTGTGTGTGTGTGTGTGTGTGTGTGTGTGTGTGTGTGTGTGTGTGTGTGTGTGTGTGTGTGTGTGTGTGGCAAAGTGACAAAAAGTTTTCGTGTGAGGTATTGCGTGCTTTAGGACTTCATCAGACTAAATAACATTTACGTTGATGCGATTACACTTGCATGTGAAGGAGATGGTACGCTGAAATTTAAAATTAAAATTTTATTTTAATGTGTTTTGATCATACACTCTAGTATTTCATTTAGATTACTTTGTTTTCTGATATCAACGAACACTCATTTGACACTTTTGTAATGTCAACGAATACTCGTTGTTACTTTCATAATGCTCGTTGTAGTAGAGACTTTGTAATCGGAGATAAAACTACAGTAACGCCGTTGAACAATGCTGGTGTCAGACGCCTTCGAATATCACTCGCACTAATAGTACTTGCTCGATAATACTCGCTCGAATAGTAACCACCGTGTAGAGAGCTGAATAGAGAAATAGTATAGTGAACAGAGTAGAGAATAGCAGTCCGTATAGTAATAGAGGATAGAGTAGAAATAGCGATCCGTATAATATAGAGAATAGACTAGAAATGAGGATCGTTAGTAGTCAACTACTTCCTACAAATACCCGTTTCCTCGATGATCACGTGGTTTAATTAATTCAATAATGGGATCGCCTGTGTTTGCTCACTGGCGATCTATGTTCAAACTCAAGTGTTGGCAGCGACACTTTATTCCTATATAATATTTTGTTATTAAGTATCCCATATTGTTAGAATTTAAAATTTTGATAAGAAACATTAAATGTTGGCAGTAGCTTGACGTAAACTTACTGTGGATGCTCTAACGATTGAAGCATTTTACATACATTTTCGTCTTAGTAAATTGTCTTCTCTTTTAATTAAAGTAGGATTTTTAAAATGAAAATTATGGTTAGACTCATTACTGTGAACAAATAATTCTTTCGACCAATCTAACAAACCCAAAGAATATATATGTTATACCAACCAACTCTCGCACAACTACAATTGAAAAGAATTTATCTAAATTTAACATAAAATTTGTTACAACTAAATCTAAATCAACAAAAAATTTAATTAATTTAAAACAGAGTAGAAAGCTAAAGCTTAAATTTACTCTATCACTTGTAGAGCCGTCAGCTAAACTTCTTCGCATTCTTGGCCTGAGGTTTCAATTGCCTTGAAGTGGAACGACTACATCGAATCAATAGTTACATTTACTGGAAAGTTGAAAGTTCGAAAGTTGGGTTCATCTGTCGTGCCAGAAAATCTTTCCATCTTGCACAATTACAAATCTACCATTCGTTCGTGCATTGAATACTGCAGCCATATCTGGTCCTGGTGCTCGTGATATGCCTAAAAAATTCAAAGTAGGATCTGTATTGCAATCGATTCTGACTTGGCATTTCGACTTCAGTCATTTTCTCACCTGCGTGGAGTGGCTTCTCTCTGTAATTTATGTAAATATTCACATCGCAACTACTCTGACGAGTTTTTTACCCTGGTGCACCGACTACATGAATTTAAGCGTGTTACTAGATTATCATCTTGGTCCCACTAATTTACAGTTGAAATACATAAATTCAACCATCACTTGTAATCCAACAGTTTCTCTTTCTCTTTCTACAAATATTTTCTATGAAAAAAAATATGCTGTCAATTGTCTCTAGTTCCTTTTGCATATATGTTTTTTTTGTTTTTTTTTACAATTCCTTTTATTGTACATTTTCCTGTGTCAATTTTAAATCTCCCGTTGAAGCCTGAAGAGCGGGTGCGAAACCGGTTGCTTCACCCGTTTTTTTTTTTTTTTAATGTCTCGTAATATTAAGTTTTATACTTTTATTTCGATCATATATATATATTTCATAATATATTATATATTTATGATCATCGAATGCTTAGAAAAATATATATATATATATATATATATATATATATATATATATATATATTATTTATTATCAATTTAGGTATTTAACAGTTTTATAAATGCTTATTGATTAAACGTATTCCGATAGGCTCAAACATATATTATTTCGCGTTCTGTCGGTTTCAATGTATAGAGCCACTTTTCGCACATGAGCTAAAAACCTTGAGTCTAAGCTTGATGGCACCTACACCTGGACACTCAAAGCTATACTTGACAACTGTTGGAGGTAACATTCAACTAAAACACATCTCTGTAGAACCACCTTTGATATTTCTGCAATCATACGTGATTTCTACAGTCTTGCGTGAACGCAGAAAGCACTTTGCAAGACACTGAATAAGAACTTGCGTATGGGCTACTGCTCTGGACACCTAGACATAAGGGCAAGACGGGTTGGTCGACCAGTAAGCACCTACATTGACCAACTATGTAATGACACAGAAGGCCGCCTTGATGCAGGACTGTGATGGTTGACGTGATTTGACTTATCAATATCTGAGCTATCTCTATCGTATACATAAATAAATCTGAATTTATTAAAACAAAAGTGCTTGTAGGAGTGCGTAAAGGTAAATATTGTGGTACGTGGAATCGTCGAGCGGATTTTAAATTCGACTTCGTTGCGTTTACGCTCATATGAAAGGCGTTCTTCCGTTCCCATTTATCGGTAAAAGTAGGATAGACTCAGTTATATAGCCTTGAGTGGTAATCTATTTATCAATGTCAAATGGACAAGTTAATCTAAAAATATTCCACTATATTTCCTAAGAAATTATTTAAATTTACATACAGAAGAAAGAAAACAGAATGTGCGCAGTGTCTTGATAGCCTAAGGATTTTCTGGGTGTAATATATATTGCAGCACACACACAAACATACATACATATATATATATATATATATATATATATATATATATATATATATATATATATATATAATGCAAATACTTTTGTACTGATGTTAAATGGATAAGATAAAAGCCTAATTTAAATCTGTTTTTCAACGGATTGCATGTGATATCACTTTTTTGTAGTCACTCCCTGATTTTTTATTTATGATTGTCCTTGCTCAACATAGCTCGCTGTATATTTCCGTGGCATTGTTTCTGCGTGCCAATAATGGATAAACATCAAGGGAGATAATCGCGTTATCATTCGTCATGTTGGATATATTTGCATTTATTCAACTATTTTCTATCGATCAAACATTAAATTACCATTCTTTTTAACTGCACGCCATAGACTAGTTTCGTCCACTCCTTATCCATTACACACTTGGACACCCCACCACCTCACACACACACACACACACACTTAGACACATGTATCGCTAATGTGATTAATACGCGTTAATACATATGACAAAACATAGATAGAAGTCTATATATATATATATATATATATATATATATATATATATATATATATGTGTGCATATAAATATATTATAGGCAAAAATATTTACAAAATCCATTTTATATAATAATAATTATATATATAATACATATATGTAAAATAACACACATATATATATATATATATATATATATATATATATATATATATATATATATATTTATATATATACTAATATTTTTGTTAAAAAATATGAGTTCTTCGTTAAAAAGAGTTCGAATGTTTCAAAAATAATTATATTGTTGAATTGTGGTGTTTAGTTCGGTTTCATCTTCAAGCGAAATTTTAGGAATAGGCTATCTCTCG